AAGTTTATTTCATATCATTGTTAAATTATTCTAATTAACCGTATTTTCACACTTTTTAATTTCTTTTTAACGTATGTATATATATATATAATCGTGCGATAATATCATATATTATAATGTACAATAATATCTCGTTGTAAAATATAATTAGAGTTATTTGTAACAATATAACGAGCAAATTAATTTAAAAAATACAGCTTAGCTTTCGAAACTTACATAATTACAGACAAAATTTTACGTATTGAAAGAGTAAAAAAGTATATATATATATATATATATATATATATATATATATTTAAATATAACATTGAAAAAACTGACATATATAAATTTAATATTGTTATAATATATTTTTGCCCACGTATTTTTCCAAAAGTGAAATTATTCGGAATATAAGGTTCACACTGCGCTTTGGTGTGTAGGTCTTGCGTTTCCTTTAAAGAGCGACTCATTAGCGACATTCCACGTCGTTGTCTGACTCATCAGTAATACTTCGGTCCGCACAGTTTTGCATACCGACGGACGCAAAGTCACGTTACGATATCAATTCCACTTTACAATTCCAGATCTGCACCTTCAGATTAAAGATACGAAAAATATGAGATGTCATATCCAAAAATCTCGATTCAATAACAGAGTTAAGATAAATAGAATCATGTTCAATAATATAGTAATGTGTATGTATTTTTTTATCATTATACATTTAACAATCTAATTTATTTATCATATCAATTAGATAAAATCTCTCAATTTAAAAAATAATCTTGCATATTTTTCTCCCGATTGTTCTCGACATATATTCGACATGAGGAGCTAATGACAAGTCTATATCTCGCGCTGTCAGATAGAATTTATACACACAAGCGCGAGATTGTATTCTTCGAACGCGAGAAACAGGAAACCGCTCCTCGATTGATAAAGGAATTAGTTTGCAGGGAGATAGGATCGCTCTTATCTACCTACATGTATTGAATCGGAGACTGAAGAAGAGCTCCGCATCCGTCGAAGGCGTCGTAACGCGACGCGCGGTGAAACGAGATGTTTCACCGGCGTTGCACCGGGATCACAATGCGCGCGTTGTTATGGTTTTTTTTTTTTTTAACCGCGCGATGCACGTTGCTATTCTGCAGCGGGGCCGGATAACAGGATATACGGTGTCCGATGAACAACCCGCGCGCGCGATTCCCCTCTTTCTCTCTCGTTATCGACCACGCGACACGTTTGCGCGCTAATAGATACACGCTCCTTTCGATACTTCAACCCGATACCAGCACCACCGTTCGCATTAAATGGCATGTTCGCGAGCTTTTACAATCCGGCGCGATGAAGCGGATACGCGGTAAACCATTCCATACGTTTCGTGTATGTTAGAGAAAAACGCGATGAAAAATTATATATCTATATTCCTGGTATAATAATGATACAAAAATTTGATTAGTATTTTTGAATAATTTTAGAGATAGAAAGAGGTCTTATTTTTCAGAGCAGAATTTGATTTTTATGAACAAAAGAGCGCAATAAAATGTAATAATAAAAATATAATATTTTTATTTTTTATAATTATTAGAGATAGAGAGACAGAAAAATAACGAGTAATAAGAATAAAAGGGCGAATTATAGTTAATTTTAATTTTTTTTAAATATTAATAAATTAATTTTTTTGAAGTGAAAAAATTGATTTATGTTCCAACGTTTTAATATAGCAGATATATACATGCACATATAATTATATCTTACGAACTGTAACGAAATCGGTGGTGAGTCAAATATCTTTCACGATGCGCACACAGGACACACCTATCCGCACCCTCCTGCTTCATCTCACGGGGGATAAAAATGACTTTGTACCGTGACAAAGTAACGTGACGCAGTGCACATTCAGTAGCCCGCAACGTGGGTTAGCGCCCGTATTAAGTGGTACCCCGAAGGGATGCTGCCTTGACATTTAGGAGCGTGGCATTTAGCCCCCGGTCTCTCTACCCCCTCGTTAAACATCCCTATGCAATTTCCTATCTGATCACGGGACACCAATATTAGGAGAGAACAACATCTCCCACCCGCGCCTTTCCGGCTGACATGATGCCGTCATCAGAGGCGGCTCTATTAAAAGGCGAACTAAGTGGAAAAAAGAGGCGTCTGAGATCTTACGTATGCAAAAATCCCGGTCGCGTGTGCGACTTTAATTATCACGGCTTGCGAGATATAGTCTCTCTCTCTCTCTCGCGTTTGATTTTATATCTATGTTCTTGTTTTTTAAGTATAGAACCTTTATAACCAAAAATTTCCTTAAATCGAAAAGTATGATTCATTAAAAAAGATTAATTTTGATAAAAATTATACATTCACAAGAGACTCGAACACGCACAAGAGCTCAGTGTTTTTATTGATCTACGAATATTTAACGTTGCATTGTAAATCTAGATACTTTGACCTCGGGTCCTAACAAGTCTAGAGCCATTTCTGAGACTCGTCTTTCATCCCCTTGTATGTTCTTCTCATACTCTGTTTTAATAGTTCACGCTCTGAATGAAATCTATTTTTGTATCGAAACATATTTTTACGGACTTGTACACGCGATGATAAAGGGAGGTTCTCTCTCTCAAATGAGATATACATATGGATATGCATATCAAATGTGATAACATGCAGTTACCATCAATATATTAATTTTCATCGGATTATTATTTAACTATCACTATTTTCAAAAGAGACAAATCACTTTTCATACATATATATAAAATAATTTACTTTATTATTATTATTACATATATTTTTAAATATTTATTACAAAATTTTTAGCAGGTTATTTTCATAAATAACCTATATATACAATATATATTTATTGGCGGAACTGTTTTATTATAAATATAAATAAAAAATTACAGTTATATATTATAGATTATGTATAAATGTATATATAAAACTACTTCTAAGAAAATATGTCACAAATATAATATTAATATTTAAAAAATTCAAATTTAATACGAATTATTTAGCATGAAATCACGTAAAAGTGGAACGGTGAAGCATAAAACGAAATATGAAATTGCGATAAATACGGTTTATGATTACCACAATTTTTGATTACGTCATTTACGACTGATCCTTTCGATCTCTCGGAGTCAGCTGCCTTTTTGAGTAGCCACCTTCGATGACGATAATAAATATCCATTAATGTAGCCGACGCGGGTAGGGGGATAGTTATCGCATCGCGAGCTACAGAGGCAGATGACTCGAAGAAGGTCCAGCTGCCTTCGATCACTAGCTTATTGTCGGAACCATCCGCTCTCGACGAAGATGCGAACGAACGGGAATAAAAAACGTGTAAAAAAATAGCTGACTCGTATAACTCGTAAAACGTTAAAAATTTCTGCGTGGAATGAAACACGTGATAACGTGTGATTACGTGTAATTAATAATTACAGCTAATAAGAAATAAATTGGTACGTTAAATTTGCTAGAATAATTGGAATGTTTTTCTTTTCACGATACATAATTTATATCTCTTATACATATACAATATATTAGAGAATAAATATAAAGATTATGTTTTATAGAAAATATAGAAAGAAATTATAGAGAATAAATTAAAATGTAATATAATATTTTTTTTTATATGAGAGGCAGATCTAATTTTAAGATTTTACATTTCATATTCGAATTTTATAAGCTGTAAATTACATATTTATGAAAAATAAATAAATTAGAGCTTAAATAAAAAAAATGCACGAAAAATGTGCAAATATATTTAATAAAAATAAAACAGAGAAGATATAAAACAGAGAATAATGACAATTCTCGGGATGACGCTTTGTCTTCATGATAGTTTACTTCACTTTATATATTATCGACCGCAGCAGGTGATATCTCTCTGTGAATACTGACTCGAGTATACACATACATCGATATGAGACTGAAAACACGTATATTTCGGAGAAGAAAACGGATGAAGGACGCGCGCTGTTGATACTTATCTCCTCTTTCATTAACTCTTTTGCTACTGAAGACGGCTGTAAGCAGTTTACACATTGTATCCTCGCGTATTAAGAGCGTCAACAGGTGATTACAATATTTCTAAAAATAGCTACGAGTACAACTTGTGAGAAAAAATAGATAGCGCATATGTTATCTTTATCAATAAATTAATCTTTTTAAACTCAATTTTCTTAACACATATAATAAGTTTCTTAAAAAAATATGTATGATATTTTATTATATATATTTATATATATTTCGGAGCTTCTCTTTTTTCAATATCACTCTTTTAATATATAGGTGTCAATTCGATTTACATTAATTTTGTCAAGTTATTGAAAAATATAATTTTATCAGCTATTATAATTTACGAACACATCAATATCGATATAAAATATGATCGCAATGCGTTCTCATTCTTCGTGATACATTCCCCGCAAGGTTTATCGAGATTTAACGGTAAAAAAATACCTGGTATCAGCTTGGCGACATATTTGAAAGATCATCGTTTCAAATGACAAAAAGGAAAAAAGATACAGACGTAGTCTGATCCGGCTGCGCATTGTTATCTCGGATAGCAGGTGCCGCCTTACATACTCCAGGATGAACAGCACGCGTCGTAACAAGAACACTCTTAACTCTTTACACACGCGCAAACGCATTCCGCATCTGCAAGATGGTACGCGGTTGCAGATGCGCGGACGACGACTATCTCGAGCGCAAACGATAATGCTGTTGACCCGATCACGATTATATTCAGCATTTACGCAAACAGAGCATATTTATTCGCACATTTTCTTATTTATGCTCGAATTTATTTATTGTTTAGAAATATGTAATTTGCAACTTTACAAGATTCGAGGAATTTGAATCTATTTAGAATAGAATTTTGATACAGAAACATTTTTGAGCTAGCTCCACAAGAGAGAAAATAATTTTGGAAAAAAGATTATGCGGCTTTTACTATTTTATTTATTTATTTTTAAACAATGCTTTCACGTCATACAAATATATTTATTCGCACATTTTTTATTTAGGCTCTAATTTATTTATTTTTCATAAATATGCAATTTACAGCTTAAGATTCGAATATGAAATTTAGACTCTTAAAATTAGATCCGCCTTTCATGTAAAAAAATTACGCACCTTTACTAAATTTTTTTTAAACAATGCTTTTGTCATGCAAACAAGACATACTCTTTCTGCAGTTCATTTATACTCTAATTTCTTAATTTTCATAAATGTGTAATTTACAACTTACAAAATATGAAATCTTAGAATACAGATCTACCTCTCACATCGAAAAGTTTATGAGTTGGCTTCGCAAGAGAGAAAATAAGAAATAATTTTTTTGCATAATTACGCGCTTGTACTAATTCCTTTTTTTTTTTTTTTTTCAAACGATGCCTTCGTCACGCGTCTGATGGATCGATTGACGCAGGCAATTAGTCGCTCGCGATCGATGTCGCGTCGCATCGCGCGTACGTCAAATGTATATAATATAATGTATATACATACATATATGACTGTGGCGGCGCGGCGGCGGTCGTTTCACCGTCTCCGATTCCCGGAGATAAAAGGGTCGAGATCAACGGCCCAGACAGACGGAGGATCTCGCGGTATTCACATCTTGAAAGCTGCCGGCACGCGCCTGCAGCAAGGTGTGCCTCTCACTTTATTCATCCACCTCCGGTCTTCGGGCGCAGGAGCAGCTGTTGCCGAGGCCGGAGCGCATGGCGCGTGCCACCAGGTACCTATATAATAAACCGGGAGATAATGTCAGGGTGCGTGGCACTACGCCACCGAGAGAGGACCCTTCGCGGAGTTGAAGTCGATCGGGGCTAGCGAAAGGGAGAAGAGCGCGAAGGCAAGAGAGAGAGAGAGAGAGAGAGAGAGAGCGGGAACTTTTTAGCTTTTATATATACGCGATCGAAGGGAGAACGCCGACTTTGTGACGTGGCACATAGGTGGGTGCGAAAACTTGATCGCCTTGGATCGGACAACGTGAATTCGCTTGTCCGTTCTCTCTAGGCCCAGGTGTCGCGGCAGACTTTTCGCTCCTTCATTAGCCTATGCCCTTACTTGACTTCTAATTTTAACGCGTTCGTTGACATTATAGATCCCTCTATCGATATATATGTTCCGACAAATTTTAAATGGAAGGAAAGCAATGTCCCTCGGCGATTTTTTTATTTGCGAAAGATACCGAGACCTTTCAACTGTGTTAAAAATGAGCGAGAGTTAATGATGGCACGGTTAGTTTATAAAATATGCAACAAAAATAATGTTAAGATTTCAAATGTTATATGTAATGGGTATTGATTTTCTTCCGTCATAAATGATACGCTAACATAATTGAACACGCAGAAATCATTTCTTCACATCCCCTAAAATTAATTATCTAATGCCATTGTAACATCTGTCATATATCACTCTTACGAGTTACTTTATTTATCTTCATTCAAATTCTGCTTCTCTCTTTCTCTTTCTTATAGAGACAATTGAAAATAAATCACTTTTATTGTATCACTCAATATATAAAAAGCTCTAAAAAAAAGTTGAGATTAAATATTAAAAAATATAATTTGAAGATTCTATAATGTCTATTTAAAAAAACGAAGCTTTAAATCATATTTGTTACGCATATCCCGTAAGTCGATTTAAACATCCTATATCTAACATAAAATTTGGCGTGCCTCTTCGATATTATTTTCATCGTCTCGATATCGAAGGTATTATTTTGTATTACATATGGGACATCTCATATTATACGCGCGAGTACCAGCAACAACACCGTTTAGTATAACTGTAATAAGTTACTTTTTTTTACAAATGACTAACCGCGCTTACCACATACCGATGTTCGTTCTATCCTGCAATAATCATCCTCGGATCCATGAAAATCCCCATTTTTTCTATGCCAATTGGTTGGAATAGATGGAATTTGCGTCGACTCTGCGTAAAAAAAACGGCACAATTTTGATCCGGTGTCTGAAGCAAAATTAACTATCTTAATTATCCGAGAGAGAATAATCGTTTAATGATCTAAAATTTTTTCAATAATTAACTTTAATCTCCTTTTTGGACTAGACAGCAGAATATTTGCAGGCTGGATTATATAAATATAATCTTGAAAATCTGAGAAATCAAGTTCCTTTTTTTAATCGCAGATCTTAATTATCGGACGATAACGATAATGAATTTATTCTTCAATTCTTGACCTCTTGAACAAGAATCGAAGGATTGATTGGTCACGAAACTTCCGTTACTGTCGCGAAGTAGGTCTGGCGTGACAACGGTCTGTCTTTTTCCAAGTCGACCTGCCACACAAACCAAGATATCGGCCCGCGACCGTCGCTGCAGCTTTACATCTGGCGAATTTGCAAAATGATCACGCGTATCCGCATCAGCCGCTGACATCTCTCCGTGAGTTTTAAGACAGGAGCTGCGCGATTCGCGTCTCGCGCGCGCGATAAGCCGAGAAGGTTATCGGAGCGAACGATATGACTCGTCTTGATATATATATATATATATATATATATATGATTGTATTATCTCGATGAGATTTTCACGCCAGACGTCATTTTTTACGCGGAGCAGGAGAGCAATTTTTTTGGAAATAAATTGCGAAAAATAAGCGCACGTGCAGAAATTTTTCGAACAAAATAAGAGCGTATTTATGAAATTGTGAATTTTATTATATTAATAAATTCTACAATAATATTAATATATTGTTCTCAAGTTGACAAGTCGTTTTACATTTTTTTTCAACATTGATGTATATTTTTTAAATAAAAATTGTGAAAAAAAAAATTAAGATTCGAGGGTGTTGGAGACGTAAGAGATAATGCAGCGTTCAAGTAATTTTACTTGACGATTGATTGATCGATTTTTTTAACTTTAATTAAACGAAAAAATAAAATTGGCGTATCGAAGAAACGCGGCAAAAGAGAATCGGCTTTTAAATCCCGTTAACCATTTAATTTCGGACGTTTTGTTCGCGCGCCAGCATGGAGGCACCCGAACGCGTGCGATGACCGCTCATGCGGGTGCTGACGTTTACATTATGCACTTTGAGGCCCAGCCCGCGGTGTTAATGAATACGCACGCGCTGTTCCGATACATCTCGGTGTCCCTTTGACTGAAAAAAAAAAATTAAAAAAAAAAATAAAAAACTGGAGTGCATTGCATACAAAATTGCAATTATTCCCTCCTCCCCTCCATGGGCGTCCGCAGGATTTTTTTCAGGGGAAGGAATGATTAAAATCTTTTTTCCTTTCTTAATTTTTTTAAATTTAATTATTTTTATTTTCCTTTTTTATATTAAATATTATTAAATAGGCAAGTGAATTCCAGCATTTTTTCCAAAGGAGTGCAAATGGTTAATTTTTTTAAGCTTGCCCCCTCTTGCTCACCTCTGCGGACCCGTCCATACTTCCCTCCTTTTTCTCTTTTTGAAAAAATGTACAATAAAAAATAGTCAAAAAGCAGACAAATGTTGAATATAACATTCAAGCTACAAATCGGCAGACGCATCCGGAATCTTCGATTATCGTACATAATGCAGATTGATTTAACAATTGATTGAATAAATTTTTATTTTAACTTCCGAACCTTTTCATTGCCGACAAAAATATCTCAAGCATTTCATGATTTAACATTGAACCGATTTATCATATAGATATATGCAAATTATATATTTGGAAAAAATAATACTAAAAAAAAGTCAGGGAAAAATATAATTTCTGGTCTCGGAAAAATCTAAAAAAAATGAGAGAATTTTGTTCACCGAGTCTGCTGGACCAACACACACCCTGAGATTGAATTCTCAATACAAATATCCGTTTAGGTCCTAATTGATCCGCGGACCTAAGGTATAGAGAATCCGAGGGATTCGCGTGCGCGTTAGATGCTCGCACGAGTCGCGTGGAGGAGAGGCAGATATAGGTGGGTTTAGCGGGCAGGCGAGCAAAAGCAAGCAGGCGAGCGAGAGCTGGCAGGCAGGCAGGCAAGCAAGCAGGTGCAACGCTGATGTTGCCTGAGGACTGAAACAGCTGTCGTCTTGCCGTGCCCTACTGCAGGCGCACGCGCCGACCGCATCCGCATTTACATTACCTTGCGTTACCATTCTCTATATCTCTATCTCTCTCTTTCTCTCGGTTTTAATCGGCATCTTCGCGTAACGGTCGTCGATCCCGCGGCGGATGAACGTTTCCTAGAAAAACCGACCCGATCCCGCCCGATGCGTCGCGACGCGACGTGCAGAACGCCCGCGTCTGCTGGTCACGGCACATATCGATCGGTATATCTGTATGTTTCTTCTCCCCCTTTTTCTCCGGCTGGCTGCTGTCCGCTCACGCGAGAGAGCGACAGAGATACCTGCCTATCTACGTACGCGGATGTTTTTTTTTTTTTTTAATTATGCATCGCGCGTCGGATGGGAGGAGTGAGTCCGAAACGATATATTGCGAAAATGTTGCGTACGCAGAATTGTGGACAGACTGATGATTAGACTAATTGTTTGTTTCGAAGGAACGAGACATCCACAGCTTGTACAAGCTATTACAAGGCAAATATGCAATCTACGTAATTTGTTTGATATTATTTTAGGCTCGACAAGATTTCTTTCTCCATCCGATATTATGTAATCTTAAATATTTGTTATGCGTTTTATTCGATATTATTTTTTTATTGCAATCGTTTATATTTTTTATTCCCAAGAATCGTGTTTGAGCGCACGATACGAGAGACGATATATTAAATGCAAATTTCGCGTGTTATATTTTATTTTATCTCTCACTTGTGAATTTTTTAATATGTATATATAAGGGCGTTTTTTATAGTTGTCACCATCGCACCTGTATCCCTCTCTCAGGTTGGGAACTCCAGGTTGGAACGGTTCATTGGCCGGGGGATAACGCATTCCATCCCTCCAAAAGCGGGGAGATGATGGTGAATGAGAGAGAAAGGGGCAGTCCTTGTCAAGGGCTTCCGAGAATAGCCCTTGCTGTGAAAAAGAACGATGAAAGGGGCGTAGGTGCCATTTTACCGTTTTATCGCGGGTCATTTCACCGTGTTTTACGATTGAAGTTCTGTCAATAAAAAAAAAAAAAATTCGGCGACTATACAAGAGTCCTCGAGTAAAGACATAAAAAAAGGTTTTTCCTCGTATTTCGTATTCGCTTATTGGAGGGATAGAATGCTGTCCGGCCAATGAACCAACTCGAAACTTTCTAACGAGGGAGGCCTACAGGTGCAATGGTGGCAGCTGTAAAATCACCCTTACAGGAAACTTCGAAATTCGCGACATATTACTGATATTCGCAAAACGGAGATAAATAAAATCTTTAGACATCGATCTCGTATCAAAACGTGAAATTTAAGATAAAATAAATTGCAAATTTAAAATAAGAATATATAAAGGGAAAAAAAATAATTTTTAACCGTAATTTTTTACAATTTTATATAAAAATTGAAGAAAGCTACTATTTTTTACAGAAAAGAAGAAAATTATGAAATATGTAAAAGAAAGTATCTCAGACGCATTCTCGTTAGAAACATCATTTCGAACATATATATATAGGAGTAATCTCTCTTATCAAATCTAATTTTCGCCGGGAGAAATTAGCAAAATGTGTGCACACAACTGGAGAGAGAACGCTTGCGCGTTCGAACGTAAAGAACGCAAAGTTTGGTAATCGCAAAAATATTCTGCCTCTCTATATCAGCTCTCTGTTCTTTCCGCGTATGTGCTTATCTGCCGCGTTGATCGTGCTGTTACGGTTAACGTATAGCGAAGCATGTGAAATTAACGAAACAAGGTAGCTTATACTTTGTACCGCGAATTTTATGAGCGCGATGGAGTTGTTTTTTTTTCTAATTATCAGCGCGATATTTTTTCTCGCAAAGATTGGCAAATCATCGAAATAAAGAAGTTCTGAAATCATCTCTCTCTCCACGATGCGTCATCATTTTTTTAGAAAATTGCATATATATCCACGGTTCAAATCGTCTGTACTCGTAACATTACACTTTTTTATGCAGTTGTGAAAAAAAAAAATGATAAATTATTTATAAATTATAAATCATTATCAACAATTACTCATTTAAACATTTTTACTCGCGATTAATAAATATACTTGAAGAGACGTCATTAGGGGAAATGTGATTAATTATATAATCTCCTCTATGTGCGCTTTTTTAAATATTATTTAAAAAATATTTTACTAATGTGTGTACCAATAGAATACAAACAAATTTCCCTCTCAATAAACTCAGCGAAAATAAATAAAGCACATCTCTATTAAAAAAAAAAAAAAAAAAAAAAAAGAAGACACATGAAAAATATTTAGTCTCGAATAACTTCTCGCTCCGGAGAACGTTGCTCCCGATTTTGATTAGCTGACAACAATATCCGGGCGTGACCGGTGAAAGGATTAGCGCGGTTGCGTTTCCTAGAAAACTTTCCATGAGAGAATCAAAACGGAGTATCGCGGAGCTACGTGGAAAGCCATTATGCATTATGCAACGTATGGAGGAGTCGCTGCTCGAGAGACTCGAGGACAAAAGGAAAAAAAAAGGGAACACGAATAGCCGATACGCCGTTTATCGTTATCGTCGGTAGCGCGGGCGTCTTTTTTTCTTTTTTTTCCCTCCTCCTGCTCCTCTTCCTCCTTCGCAAAGTCGTCAAACGAGAATGCGACATAAGCGCATGCATCGGCGTTTCTTATCAGCGCCCGCTCTTGTTTCCCCTGAACGATGATTATGCGAGGCACCGGGACAGGACGGTACTCTCTTCGCAGATATGATACATATTTCTTTTTTCTTCCTTTCCGCGTGAAAGACGACGACAATTCCGTATTCCCTACGATTATGTGTCGCGCGATATCGTGCGCGCTCCTGATTTCGAAATTATTGTGTAACTTGGAAATTATTGGACATGTATACGTTATCCATAACGATACTGTCTATAGTCATCGTTTTTCCCCTCCGAACACGATATCGTTATTATCTATCAAATATTCACTGGCTTTTTTATTACTTGTTTCTCGATTATTAAATTTTTCCTAGTCGATTCTATTTTCTTCAGGGAGTACACGCGCACGCGTTCGTTCTAATAGCGCACTCTCATTCTCTCGGCGCGCACCTTTCGCTTTCCTCGGAGAGACTCGCAGAAAAACTCCGTGCAACCGGCGCGCTCGAACGCGTCATTAAAGGTCGGAGATTCCCAAATCGTACGGGGCAATTTGGCCATAACCGGCGAGCGAGCAGGTGGCCGCGCGGTGTAAACATGGCGAAATATGCCTCCTGGAGGCAACACAATAGCGGGTGTGCATGAGTATCGGCGGTAGCGCGATT